GCCTGGGGGAGCGGATCCTGCTCACTCCATTCAAGAATCCCAAGTATTCAAGATGGACGGCAGGGAGTGTGGAAGGAGAAAGGGGGCGCGGGGGGAAGAGCCCGATCTCTAGAAGAGCGGAGCGCCACGGCCAGCCCATCCCGGAGCCCTGGTCCCGACCGGCGGGTGGAAGGGCAGCTGACGGGGGCTCGAGTCCGGCGGGGACGGAGAGAGGCTGGCGGGGTACGAGAGGGCGTGAGAAGGGGAGCGAGGCCAGGAAGGGGAGCCAAAAGGGAGGGAAAGGCAGAGAAAGAGCCCGGGAAGAAGGAGGTGGCGGGCAGAGGAACCTAAGAAGAGCGATGTGTAGGTATTGGGAGCTCGGCGCTTTCCGGTTTTCTCTCGGTGAGGGGAGGGGGTGCTCCGGCCTTTTTCTCTCCTCCTGCTTTTTCCTCCCCTCCTCATTCTCCACTCGTAGGCATGGTCTCTATTTTTCCTTTCGAAACACTATCTGGGGAGCACCAGGCGTGTCTTACCGAGGTGGCCTCACTGTCATTTTCCAATGGGGGCGTGGTGGGAAAGGGTGGGGGGCTCTAAGCCTGAGCCATCTGCCTGTCCCTGGGCTTGGGAGGGTGTGGGGACGCGGGGGACTTGGCGTGTGTGTTCCGAGAGCAGCCAGGGCATTGCAGGGAATTCATCACCTCTAGAACTTGTGGGGTGAGCCCCACTTGCTGTCGGGGTGTAGGGTGTACTGGCTTTTGCTAGTAGCGGTAGCGTGTGAGGACGTGGGTAGCTGTGCCCCCCCCCTCCAGTTGGGGTGAGTGTCGACTGAGGGGCGACTTGTATAGCAAGTATGGCTGAGAGTTTGCGTGTGCGTGCAAGCGCGTGTGGTCCAGCCTCGAGGTGTGGCAGGGGCACAGTTGGGTGTCGAGGGGAAAGCGCCCCTCACCCCACACTTCCCAGCTGCCTCTCTCATCCCATTCACAGAACAGGGCTTTCAGGACCCTCCTGGTCTCCTCCTCCCGTCGCCATGGTTGCGGGAGGAGGTGGGGGGATTGCAGGAGGAGACAGTTAGAGCCAGCCCCTTGCCCCTGCTGCTCCAGCTAACCCCCCACCTGCCCTTTCTCTCCTTTCCACAGGCTGGGCCCCATCCCTGCTGCTCTGGCGGGCAGGGGCCGGAAGATGGTGGCCAATGAGGAGGGGGAGTGGAGAGAACTTGAGCCAGGGCCTCCCCTCCCCCATTTCCTCCTCTGTTTCTACACCCGCTTCTGGAAGGAACTGGGGGGGGGTGGCTCCTAGGCCCAAGGTGGGGGAGGGGTCCTGCTGGCTGTTGTATTGCTGGTCTCCCCTCTCAGGAATGAGTTGGGCACGTGAGCTCCTAGGGACTCAGTATCCCAGCTGCCTCTCCCCTCACTCCTTTAAGGAAAGATCTGGGGACTCCTTGATGAAGAATCTTTGGCTACCCTGAAGCTCACTGGTAGTCTTGTCTTTGTCCTTTTGCCCCATGTTGGCCTGGTCCAGTTCCCAACTGGCTTGCCCAACTCCAGGAGCAGAGAGGCCTGGCGACTGACCCAAGCGGGGCCTTGGTTTCCGTCCATTGGAACTGTGCAAACTGGGGCAGGGCCCCGTGTTTGCAGATTACAAGAACAAACTCTGTCTGGGAAGGCGGGAAAGAACCTCTCCTGCTTCCTGAGGGGGTGGGAGGAGGCTGGAGGGGGAAGCCCAAAGGAAGAGCTCCCAGTGGAATTCAGTCCTCCATTTTCCCCCCACTTATTGCAGTGAAAAGTGGGGAGTCTCCCTGAGGCTGCTCCACCATCTGAATGGATCCACAGAGGAGTTGCCTCTCAGCCTCTGTCCCTTTGGTCCAAACTGTAGCTGGCTTCTGGTCAGTAGCTCTGGCTGGCTCCCTAGTCCCGGGATTGAGTGTGAAGACTCAGATACTGAACGTGGGGGTAACGGGAAATTTGTCTTCTAATCCCACCATCAAGGAAAGCTTATCCTTAACTCAAGAGCCAAATCACTGATCATTTGACCTAACACCATAGATTCAGTGCTTGCACCCCCAGATCTGGGAGCTTCTCCCTCGATACCTGTAGCTGTAATCCTATTACTCTGGTCCTGGAGGTCCACCACCTGAGACATCACCTTGAGACCTCCAAGGCTCCTTTATCGAAAATTAAGAAGTTAATTTTAGACTGGAGACAAGTCCGAAGGTGCTGTGCTTCTGGGTGACAGGGTTCTCTCGGAAAGTCTGCAGGCCGACAGGCAACCTGCTATGGTCACCTGGACTACGGGTGAGGAGGCAGGGAGAGGAAGGCGGAGCCGAGTGGGCCGGGGCCGGGAGGAGGCAGGGCCGGCACGCCTCCGCTGCTGGCCGAAGCTCTTTTCACATTGTGCTACTGTCCTCACCTGTAACGAGCAGTGCAATGTTAAAAGGGCATCGGCCTTGTAGTGCTACCCAGTGCCGGCAGCCTCCTCCACATCGCTGTCTTCTCCCCGGTCTGGGCACCAGTCAGCTCCCCTGGTGAAAACTTGGGTTTACGGAGCCATGTGTGATCCCTAGGCTAGACATGGCATGCATCCCCATAGCAAGGGGGCTAGAAAAGTTTCAGCTGTTTGGCTAAGGCTGTTGCGCTCAGAAGTTAGGACTTTGTCCTGAGCCCAAGAGGAAGGTACCCATCTATTTTGTCAGGAGAGATTTGAACTGGGGGGGGGGGTGAAAGGTTTTGATGCCACCTGCTGGTTGTGTGAGGATGTCCTCTGAAGTCTTCAGCTTTTAAGGATAAGCCTGGAGCAGCTCCTTAAGTGAAGAAGGTCTGAGTTTTCAGACAAAGCTTGGGGTGGACAGTTGGTGAAGTGGGGAGAAACGTAAGGAGGCCCACGGAAGACCTCTGGGAATGAGGGGTACACAGGAAAGGAAAGGGCCAAGAGGAAGGAGAGTTGCCTAGGCAGAGGCTTCAGTGTCCCTAGCATCCTCTGCCTCTTGTTATGGGAAGGAGGTCTCTGCAGCCAAAGTTCTCAGCATGACCTCTGGACCATATCACCTGATGGTGATGGCTCTTGTGGGCAGACCTGCCTGGGCACCCAAGATCTGGACAGCATTACTTGGGTCTTAAAAGATTAATGTCCTGAGCCAGGCCCAGAGTCTTCACATGCTCCACAACCATGCCGTTTACTTTTCTGTCTTTCACAGGACTCTCCTTGGGCGGTTTTGAGCTTGCTCTGGTGTGGGAAATGCGACCAAGAGACGGAACTGAGTCTCTACTCGTGTTTAAGGACTGAAGATAATTGGTATCAGTGAAACCACACAATGGGCCAGACACGCTTTCTCTGGACCCAGCGCTCAGATGTTTCTGGCTTGTGTTTACCCTGCACCTGCCAGTTCTTTGTCCTGCCCATGGTCTCTCCATGCTGATGTTAACAGTATTTAAGATAGTATAGGTAACTCTGAATCCATGAGTTCAAGCTGTTAAAGTTATCTGAGCCTTCCTGGGCATAGTGGTGCATGCCTTTAAAACCTGCACTTGGGAGGCAGGTTAAACCAAGTGAGCCGGAGACTAGCAGGGTCTATAAAGGAAATTCCAGGCAAGCCAGAGCTACATAGTGAGACCATTTGCCTGTGGGCCCTTCCCCCAAACAACAACTTCTTGTCTGACACAAAACAGCTATTGGGCAGTATCATTATACTTTTTTAAGTTTTAGGATAAGGGTGTGGCTCGATGGAGAGAGCTTGCCAGGCATGCACAACATAAAGCCAGGTATGGTAGAGCATACTTGTAATCCCAACACTACCAAGGTGGAGGCAGGAGGATCTGATGTTAGAAGGCCAGCCTAGACTATAGAAGACAGTCATTAGTCCATGCTTCCGTGTGTCCTTGATCAGCCTGTGGGCCGTGAGCCCCTTGGCAAACCTCTATCTCCAAAAAATACATTATCATTCATAACAGCAAAATTACAGTTATGAAGTAGAAAGTAACCTAATGGTTGGGGTCACCACAACATGAGAAACTGTATGTCAAAAGGTTGAGAACCACTGTTACAAGGTTGTCGTTCTCCCCGTTTGATCTTTTATGTATCATTCTCTTGCACTTCTAGCCACAGAAAAACACAGTTTCCTCAAAGTAGCCAAGTGTGTGCCACGGCACACAGTTCTGTCTGAATCTCTTTCCCTGGTGTTACCCTTTGCCCATCCTTCCATCGTGGTCTCTACGGTGAAGCCATCCCTGATTCTTTAAGTTCCTCCTCAGCTTCCTCTGGACTACAGTCCTTACCTTCTGTTGAGGTCCCCTAACTTCCTTCTAGCCACTAAACTGGAAAAAAAAAAAACCAAGTTGTCAGGCCATGGCTAGCTTCCTCACCCTGCAACCCTGGAGGAGTTCAACACAATGCCTGGCAAGTAATACATACCTATAAGTATTTGCAATACCCATGAGTTGATCTGGAAACAAGGATGTAACCTAACAGATTTTTTAGCACACATATATGGTCTTCCCCTGTAGAGGCTGAACGCCTCCAAATCAAAATTTCACTTAAGTGAACCCCCCAACCACATTCCTTAGATCACACTTATGTGTAGATGCTATAGTTTTGAGCTATATCCCACTCTGGATCCACTGCCAGCCGTGTCTCAGCCCATAGATTTTCATTTTAGCCTCAAGGGTATCCATGAGTTGATTAAAACATTCCAGGACCAAGCATAACAAAACAAGGGGATGCAAAAAACTAGAACCCACCAAAACTGTGGAATAAGTTTGCACTAGCTGCTTATCCTGAGTCCAGATTTTAAAAGTAGCCTCATTAGGGGGAAGTCTGGGCATCTGGAAACATTAGATGACCCATGGACAAGCTCACCAAAACCCATGCCTCACGATTCACTGCTTGTGAAACAGGTGGAAAATCTTGCCACAGACAAAACAACTACTGCCTCCTACCGGTTTTTGTTTTTCTTTAAGGGATTCTTGCTGGTGCCTACTGGGGCAGTAGGAGGCCCACACCTACGGAAGGAAAACCGCACAGCACCTCAGTTGCTTTTCCCCTTTTTATTAAAAATAGACCCAAACACTTTATATATCATACAAAAGTTTCGTTCGCTGGTGGCAGTCACTGGAAAGACTGGTCCCGCAGCGCCGATGATCCACCGCCTCCAAGGGACTGGGTCCCAGGGAGCAGTGGCTGAGCCTTGGGGAATGCCCGTAAGTAAAGACTGCTCTCTCTGGCAACAGCCAGCCGGGGTGGGGGCTGTTCTTGGGGCAGCTTTCCCCACCCCACCCAATGGCAAAGATTAGATACTTAAAAGTGCCTCTGTAGTGCCAAGGTAAACAGCGGAGTGAAATGGGAACCCCTGCAACTGATTTCCCAGGGTCTAGGGTTTGTGTTTTTCCTTCTATTGGCCCCATCTCTAGGCCTTTTTTTTTTTTTTTTCTTTCCTTAAACCAAGAATGGGGTTGAGTAAACTACCCTCAGACTCTGGGGCCCTGATATCTGAGACCAAAATTTCACTCCAACCTAAGTCTTTGCTATTCTGTGGTCTAGCCCCACCACCAGGATTTGTCCTGGTTATTCAAAAAAAGGCGGATCAAAGTTTGATAACTCCTAGTCCTATCTGCCTGAGTTCACACCCTGCCATCACTGTTTTCAGGGCCGCAAGCATCTCCTCTCCCCAGTTTCGTATTTCCCTGACGCTACCCGCTCCTGAGCCTTCACTACCCCTGGGGTATCGCAGGCTCCTGTTCCGAGGGGACCTGGTGCTGCTGCGGTGGGGGAGGGGAGGCGGTGGTCATTTGGAGCCAGGTTTCCCCAGGGGTGGGCAGTACTCATGCTGGTGTGGACTGCTCACAGGGCCAGGGGACTGGTGTGAGGAAGGTGGGGCATGCGGAGGAGGGTCCCAGCCTGCTGAGTCCCCCCTCAGTCCCAGCCGTTGTCCTTCACCATGTGTGACATCTCAATGATGTACTTCCCTTCTTTGTATTTCTGGCTGGTCTCAAAGGCTTGTTCCTGGTGGGGAGTAAAATGGTGACCATGGGAAAAAGGTGTCTCGCACCTCCAGGCTCCTCTTCCCACACCAAGGCCAACCCGGTTCCAAGCTCCCTCTGTGGACCATGCAAAAGCCTGGTGTCTGCGCACTGGGTCTGGAGAGCCGCGGGGACCGTCTAGGAAGCGGCTCTTCTCAAATACTTACATATTTCCAGCCCAGGGTGGTCTTGCAGCTTTCGCAGAAAATGTCAGCTACCGAGTGGAGTCCTGTGAGCAGGAGGCGCTGTTCAGCTGGCCCACAACCCACGTTGACCCTGTCTCGGGAAACAAGGACCCAGCACACAGTAGGGTTGCTCTGTCAGTCCCAACCTACCCAAAAGGATTTCTACCTGGGGGGAACTAGAGCGTCCGCCTTCAGTAATCCACCCCTTTAGGATCAGTCCTTGGGCCTTCTTTAACTCCGCACAACTTAAGACTGCTTTTCTGATCCTTTTGAAGGCTTACCCCCATTTTGCAAAGAGAAAAGCTGCCGTAGCACAAGCAAACACACACGCACACACACACAAAGAAAGAGGTAGACTCACACGGAGTTAAACAGGTAGGCCCGGCCATGGCTCCCTTGGAAGGACTGTGGAAACAGGACAGACAGTGACCACTGGGAATGCCTCAACCCCACTGCCTAAATCCCGCTGGAGTGGCGGGAAAGGAGACCTCAGGTGCTCCCATTGTCTCGGAGGGAAAGCCCGGGGAGGCAGGCGGTGGGCCCTCGCTACTGCGTTACCTTGGAAATAAGCTCATCGTGTTTGGCCAGATGTGCTCGACAGTGGACACAACTGTAAGTGCGGTGACAGCGGGGCAGGTAGCTGCGGAAAGTCTTTGTGGGTAGACAGGCAGGGGCCGGGCCAGGGTCACAGCTGGGCATGACGGGCTGGAGGACGATGCCCTGGCGGGCTGGAGGGGCTGGTGCTGTGCAGCCCCCGCAGAGACGGTCGCAGGTAAAGCAGCGGAGCAGATTGGCTAGAGCCGTGTTTCAGGACGGTAGAAGTGTGGGGGGGCTGCCCGGCCAGGGCCCCCCCAGACGAGAACCAGATAAAAATGGAAATCACCTGGTAAGAAACGAAGGTGTTCGTCAGGGGGGGAGATGTGACCTCATGAGGAGCCGCTCTTGAGCGTCTAAAGAAGATGGGGCTCAGCTCATCTGGACCCTCCCACCTTTGCCATCAGCCCTCAGCTTCCCATTGCACTTTCTGTCCCCTAGAGTCCCATTCTGTTCTGGCAGCGGTTCCAGGCGTCCTGTGCCATGGCCAGGGAGTTGGTACCTCTTGCTCTCAAGAGGCAGTAGCAGCCTCCAGCATTTTCCACTGAGAGCAGCCTGCTGGCACAGACACTGCCTGAGGAGCAACATCACCTGCAGAGACTCCGCTTGGGTCCAGTTCTGTGAGAAACTGCCGCCTAACCTTTGCTCAGAACCTTATAAAAGTGAAGTGTTCCTGAGTTGGTTTTTTGTGGTTGTTGGTTTTTGGTTTTGTTTTTTCTGTCTCAGGGCCTCTGTTTGCAGTACAATTGGCCCACATTTTGGGAAAGAAGGGAGAGGGAACAGGCAGATGGGTGCTCACATCCCACTTAGCCCTTCTCCTGGGGTTGTCCTGAACCCTGGAACTCCACACAACTTGGTAGCTTCTTCAGTATCTCAGACCTTACACGTGGCTGTTCCTTAATCCTGCATCCTGAGCTACACATCCCAGACTAGAGGGAGCACTTGCTGTCTTCCTAGCCTCTGGACCTCATCACTGTTTACTTACTGTTAGCTTAGCTCTGAGTTAAAGACTGGCACCTAGCCCTAGGAGGAAAATTATCTTTCCTCCATCAAGCCTGACAGCTGGACCCATGGAAGACGGGCAGCACATCAGACCAGACTCCTGGGCTAAGCCTGGCAGTGTGGCATCGTGTGAGAGCAACATTAATGGGAAACAGCCGGGTAAGGGGACTCGCTATTTTTAAGAGCTGGGCTTTGGGGCACAAGGCGGAAAATGGCAAACACTGGTGACGGGGCAGCAGCACATGAAATAATTGCAGGGCTCTGATTAAGAATCTTGAGACGCTGGTATCTGCTCACCATCCCTCCAGTCCTGACGTGGCTGAGGGTACTGCAGGCAGGGGATAAGGAGGGAGGTGTCCTCTGGTAACTCCGATAAGCAGGTGAGGTGCCCTATCCTGCAGCTGTGGGTGGGGTAGCCTGTGTCTCCTTCAGAGGTGCCCGCTAACAGCTCTAGTGATGCTGGACCACCAAACAGAGGAGGCAGTCATCATTCCAATTGCCAGGGCAAACGGGCTGTTCTCCTGTCCTTTGTGGTGGCCAAAAGCACCCCGACTGTTCTGTTCTTTTCAAGGCTTGCCATGTAGTCTTTCCACAAATCCCCTTGAGTGAGACCATCTATCTTCAGTTTCTGGTTCTCAACCGTTGGCTGGGTCCCAGGAAGACACCTTGGGCCAAATTCAGGGTGACATTGTGTTCTGGACCTCCTTACTACACAGTTCAGCATCACTCTCTTGATCTGCCTTCAACTTTGCCTTCGAGTTCCCCTCAAGGTTCCCCCTTTAAACACCTACTCCAAGGGACTAGGAGTAGGAGAAGCCAGGTTTGCCCCCTCCCTCTAGCTTCTGCTCCGTCCCCAGCCCTGTCCTCTGTCATTGTCACGCCTCCCTCCCTGTCCCCTGCTTCTCAGTCCAGCAGAGGAGAAGCTGCAAAAAAGGCCAAAAAAAAAAAAAATCCCAAGGAGGAGAGTTGGGGTCCTTTCTTTTCCCATCTCTGCCATCTCTTGTCATAGGGTGAAGCTAATCAGGCAAATGACTGGGGGCAGAAAAAAAAACAAAAACAAAGGTGAGTGCTGGGAAGAGGACGATCTGTGATGCTGAGCTGGGGCTGGACTGTAGGAGGTGGGGGGAGCAGAAGGGCTCTCAACTGGGAAAACTGGCAGCGAACGGCAGAAGTGATGAGACAGAGGCCGATGGAACCAGGTGCGAATCCAGTGCCTCCCGGGAATAAAAAAGGGGAGGGGGACTTGCGCGCACAATGGGTATATTCAATTGCTTTGAGGTTCTACCTCCCCCTGGGCCAGCATTTTCAGTATGGTATGGTCCGAATGATTAGCAGAGCAGCCAGCTCCCAGGGCGGGCTTTGGGGGTCTGCACCAGCAGCAAAAACAACAGTGATGTATGAAGCTTGGAGCCAAAGTTGCCGAGAAATAAGTGCGAGAGAATCGTCAGAGCTTGGGGAAGGATGGAGAAGCCGAGAGAGAGAAGCGGAGGCACCGGGGAGGGGGAAGGGAGGACAAAGGGTGGATGAATAATGCTTTTGCAAAGCGGGGAAAGCAACACGCAGCAGGAAGAGAAGATTTGCAAAGGGGAAAAATTGATTTGGAGAAGGGCTGCCCCCTCACCTTGAGGTCTGCTCCAGAGATCTCCGTCTATCTCTCTCAATCCCTCTGCTCTCTCTTCTCTCTTCTCTTTCGGCTCCTTCAGTTGGGAAGGGGATGGGATTGGGTCGTTGGGGGTTTGAGGACTGGGACTGCAGGCTGGATAGCTGCTGGGGGCCAGAGGTGGCCTCTCGTTCTGTACCTCAGTCTGTGGGTAAATGTGGCTGTGTGTTGTGGAACTGCATCATAACACTGTGACTCATCCAACCCCCCACCCCCCTCACCTCCCACGTCAGAGCAGGGCTGGGAGACACAGGAGGCGGGTTGGGAGGGAGGGAGGGATAGAGGGAGGGAGGGAGGGGGCAGGGGCTAGAGGAGTGATGATAGGGAGTGGAGGCAGAGGGATGGCTGGGTTTGGGGTGTGGAGGCTGGTGGTAGGCAAAAGGAGAGATGGGTTGTTAAGGAGCAGGGCCCTGTGACCAAGGAAACAGAACCTGAGGGAAGGGCAGGGATGGAGTTAGGGAGGCAGGGCTGGGGAAGTAAGAGATGGAGACAGAGTGAGAGCCAGGAAGTACACACACACACACACACACACACACACTACAGGATACATTTTTCCACTTCAACTGTGACATCAGCTCTGATGCAGGGTAAAGGAGGATATACCAATTGTCATGGATGACAAACTGGGCTCTCCAGTGTGCTCAGTACTGAGCACTTGGAAGCTTTAGCATCTCAGTGTAATGCCTCCCAAAGAAGTCATAGGTCAAATATGACATCTTGCACCCAAGAAGCTCTTATCAACTACTGCCTCCAAAACAATGTGTGCTGCAAATGGAGATGTCTATGGGACATAGGGTCTTGACTGGACTGTAGACTTCAAGACCACATCATCTAGTGTAAAACCCTGCACGTAGGAGAGACTTACAGAGCAGGGCTTGCTTGCATCTTCAGGCAATGGCCAAGTGTCTGGCTTTGATCTCAAAGACTCCTGAGTCAAAAATCTTAGCTCTGCCAATTATTCACCAGGAACCACGGGCAAGTGACTAATCCTCCTGCGCCACACAGCTCTTCGGCTCCATGAAGCTAATGATATTTACCTCATGGAGAAGTGACTGGGAGAAATGGCACGTACATTTCCAAAGGAGTACCTCACACACAACAGGCACTAAGTAAAGAATGATGTGATTTTCTTTTGTTCCCTTTTTGGTTAACTTTCTAAGCTGGCGTCCAAATTGGAGAGCTTTGTTAGGAGTGGGTTAGTGTTACTTTGGAACAGCGTTCTCCATGTGGGCAAAGAGGCAGGCAGAGGGACTGCCAGTTCCAGGCCAGCCTGGGCTTCATGGTGACATCAGTAATAGATAGAGAGCCCCAAACCAATACAAACAAAAGCATATTCTCAATTTATAACCCCTAAGCCTAGAGAATATGTACTATTAAATATTTGATATTTCAAGAGACATAATACCAAAATTTTGCCTTGTAGAGGGATTACATTTTTTAAAACCAGCTTCCAGTTAAAATTCATCTGACTTAGAATACTTCCTATGTGGTACAGGACTGTGTCACTAAACCATGGACCCAGGATATGCCCCCAACACAAGACAACCTCCCCCTTTTTTGTTTTTCACAGAGGATACCTTACAGAATATGAAAACAGTAGGACTTAGACTTCTAGAAAGTAGTATCCCATCTTTCTTCTCACATGTGAGGGGCGAGGGTCAAGGCAGCGACTATGGGCAATGAGAGATGCTGCTAGCTGGGTAAGAAGAGAGGGGAGTTCTGGATATTCAATCGGGAACAAATCTGGGGTTAGGGAATTCTGAAAAGACAATGTTCGTATCATGAGGGTAGTACTACAGGCCTGGATGTGAGAAGAACTGGCTAAAGAAAAAGAATAGTGTATTCTGGTTACCAGTATTCAAGAAGCTGAGGTGAGAGGATCCCAGTAAGAGGCCATCCTGAAGTACACAGTGAGTTTCAGGCCATTCTAGACTAGAGTGTGAGACTGTGTCTCAAACAGACAGGTTGGCTATGAAGGTGCAAGCCTGTAATCCCAGTATTCCATAGGTAGAGATGGGAGGAGCTGGCATTCAAGGTTCTCAGAAAAACAAAATCCAGAGGGAAAGGTTGAGAGGGGCAGGGGAAGTTTCGTCCGGGCAACAGAAATGAAAGGAAATACGGGAGCTGTAGAGAGACTCAGCAGGTAAATGCACTTGCTGTCAATGCCTGCCTGAAAACCGAGTTCAGTCTCCAGACAGAATCCATGAAGTAGAAGGACAGAGCCAACTTTGAAAAGTTGCTCTCTGGCGTCTGCATGCACGTTGTGGCCACTGCCACCCCGGACATCATCGTCAGCGTCACACACAACATTAGATCAGACAAAGGAGAAAGGAAAGCTAGGGGGAGGACGAGTGTGAGAATCCAGCCTTGAGAGAGAAGGGAAGGTCCTTAGGGCATGGACTTAGAGCCGGGAGCCAAAAGGATATCCATAAATGTAAATCAACAGAAGAACAAAATGACCAAAGATTTAGCTGGAGAGGAGAAGGAGTGGGACACAGACAGGATGGGTTGGGGGTGGGGTGGAGATGGCAGGAGTGCCTAGTGAGACTGGAAATGACAAGAGAGTGGGCAAGCACAGATGATTGATACGCTGCGTCCTTTTTCTGCAATGAAGAAGCGAAGGGGAGAGCCATCTCAAAGGGAGGAGAGGGCTCTTCCTAAAGGCAGCTTGAGATGATTATGCAATATCCACATAAAGATGACCTTCAGGTAACTGGGAGACATCACCTTGAGGGAGCGTGTGGAGGCAAAGAAGACTCAGGAGAATGAGTTCCAAAGAAAGAGGATGAGCTCCTTCGGGAGGCTGGAAGTTTGCTAATGAAGTCTAGTGCTAAAATTCTGAAGAATGGTAAAGGATCAGCCTATGCCTAATAGTTCATTTAAAAGCTACTGTCTGGAGCGAGAAAATGCAGGGTTCAATAAAAATCAATACAATTAAAAAAAAACCCTAATGTCTGCATGGTGAATGAATGAAATAAGTAAAGCAGATCCCCAAAGAAAATGGTGAGAGGTGACAACTTACCTCCCTAAAAACGGAGGGCTGCATAGGGCCAGAAAGGGAAAGGTAGACCAGAAAGCCTTTAATCCGAGGACTCAAGAGCCAGAGGCAGGCGGATCTCTGAGTGTGAGGGCAGCCTGGTACACAGAGTGAGTTCCAGATATCTCGAAAACCAAACCAAAACAAGGAGAGAGAGAGAGAGAGAGAGAGAGAGAGGAAGAAATAAAAAGAAGCAGTACCTGTAACACAGTTACCATAACTACCACACAGGTTCTAGCTGGAATTAAACGAACATGTACCCTCTGCACCTGCGCAGTCATGGAACAATACCTAACAGCTAACACTATGCAATTGTTTGCCCATTATTATAAATGGATCCAACTCCCTAAGTTCTTGGTTTGAATCTGTTTTAGTACATTTCTCATTGCTATGATGAAATACTTGACACAAAAGCAACTGAAAGAAGTTTCTATTTTGACACATGGTTCGGGAGGCAGAGTCCATTGGCACAGGGAAGCTGCAGCAACGGGAGCCGCTACCAGCTGTGGTGTTGGAACCTTGCTCACATCTGGCCAGATGAGGAAGCAGATGGGGTGGAAAGCTGGGTCTTACGCGACTTTTTCCACTTCCTCTTCCGATTCAGCCCAGGACCTCAGGCCCCCAGAACAACAGTGTTGCCCACATTCAGAGTGAGTCTTCCCTCTTTAGTCTCATGCTTTCCTGAAATCCTTTCACAGACACACCCAAAAGGGTGCCTCACTGGTGTTGTTCGTAGGGTTTACTAATTCAATCAAGCTGGAAAGCGAAACTAACCACCAAAAAGCCAACCTCTAAGCCTCATAGTGGTGCACACTTTAAACCCAGCACTCTGGAGGCAGAGGCAGGTGAATCTCTGTTGAGGCTAGCCTGGTCTATGTAGTGAGTTCCAGGACAGTCAGGACAGTGAGACATTGTCCGGAACAACAAAACAAAACAAAAACCCTACATTTACTAATAACTGAATGTTTGGACAAATGCCTCCGATTATCTTAGTTTCCTTCCCGAAGGAAACTGGAGATAATATACCTACCTGGGTTTGAGGGTGTTGTGACATAAGACACCTTAAAAAACTTGGGAAAACACTGTATGAATAAATGAGATTTTTATAGTCTCTTCAGCCTACAATAAAAATTTAAAAGGTGCCAGGCGGTGGTGGCACACACCTTTAATCTCGGGAGGCCAAGGTGAGTGGACCTCCGTGAGTTCAAGGTCAGCCTGGTCTACAAGAGCTAGTTCCAGGACAGCAAGGACTGTTACACAGAGAAACCTTATTAAAAGGCTAACTCAGATACATTATAGGCAATGTGCTTAGTGCTTTACATATATCTCATCCAATCTTCAAAACAACCTTAAGAGGTCGAATACTGTTATTATTCCCATTTTACAGACAAGAGACATCTCAGGGGAAGGCAGCCTGTGGTTTAACCAGTCAAGCAGTGAGCCAACAAGATTCCAAAGGCCCATACTCGTGAAAAGTGGATTGTAGACTTATGGGTAGACGTAGGGGAACCGGTTAGCAGTGGTGTAAATGACTGGCCTTGTATAACTGTCGGATTTACCTATAGAACAGTCCAGATTCTGGCAGAGGTTGATGGATAAGGGCTGATTAATAAGGTAAATATAGGAATTCACTGGGCTTTTATTCTACGTTTACTAAAGTAAACAAGCAAGCAAGCAAACAAACAAAAACCACCATCCTGGCTTGGTGGCTCATGTCTCTAAATTCCAGCTTTCAGAAGGCCCGAGGCAGGAGAAATCACCGCGAGTCCACGGTTGGGTAGCCTGGGCTACAGTTAGACCAGAAAAGAAAGAATGAGGGAGAACAATTAACTGGACAGGCACCCACAAGAGGAAGCTGTTAGCTCTGCGCAGCCTCAAAGCGGTGTGATTGCTGCCAATGTCCCTCCGCCTGGGTCTCCTGCTGAAGCTGGGTTTTGCTAACTTTCTGACTCGAGGTCTAGGCGAGCCGAGGATCCAGTCTGTGAGGCATCTCCCTTTCTGGTCGCCCTTCGCTTTCCTGGACAGCAGATCGGGACAGACCACGTATCCGCCTCCGGCGCGTGGGCGCACCGGCAACGCCTCCTCCCCGCCTCCTGCGGTCTTCCCGCACCAAGTGACGGCACTGCCCCGCCCACCTCGCGCGTCACGGCACAATCCTTGAACTACGACTCCCAGAGGGCCGAGCGGCGGCGCGCGCTCGCCTCCATCCAACTACATGTCCCAAGAGGCATTACGCGACCGCGCCTTCTCCCACCGCGCAAGAACGGAACCGCGTTTGCGTTCCGGCTGGTCTCTAAGTGAGCGTTGTGTCTGGTTGTGCTGCGATTCTGTCCGGAGGCTTCTGTTACGTTCATTTAGGGCCTGTGGTTGTGCAGGTAAGGCTTAATTAAGAACTTCAGCTCACTTTTGCGAGGCCTGGGCAGATTTCGTTGCTGGAGATAACTGCCACAAATGCTGAACCTAGAAGTGCGGTTTAGAATCAGAACTAGTAACTTACGTTTCTTTGGTAGATTGTAATTTACGGTGTTTTTTGTTTTGTTTTTCCTACTGTGATCGCTGTTACGCGAGGACGTGTAAGTTCCCACCGTATGATAGCTGAAGAGTTGGTTCGGGTGTAGATTGGACTGTAGTAGCTAGGAGTCCCAGAGCCGGACGTGCAAATGTTTTCTTAGTCTGAACCCTGTGTCCTGTTCTTTGCACACTATTCAGAGTCTAGTTTCTTCTTGGCTAATAGAGTTGGAGAGCGGGCATCTGTTATTTCTTTTCCAATGGAATGATGGAGCCGGGTGATGGTCGCGCACGCCTTTAATCCCAACACTTGGGAGGCGGAGTTCAAGGCCAGCCTGGTCTACCCAGCTAGTTCCAGAATAGGCTCCAGAGCTACACAGAGGAACCCTGACTCGAAAAAGAAAAGAAAAGAATGATGGAGAGAAACCAGTGTGATCAAGTCTCCTGTTAACAAAATTTAACAAAATCTGTAGGGAGTATTCTCTATATAACCTGGTCATTCGTTTACTCAGTGTTTTCCGTCGAGGTGCGCTACTATTCTACCTACTAGAGATAGGGTAGCAAACAAGAATACCTCTTCCTTCTAGTTGTGGGGAAACTGAATGAAAACAAATACCCAGTCGTAGTGGCATTTTATTTGTCTTTTAATAAATAAAGCTTGCCTGAAGATCAGAGAGTAAAACAACTCCACTGGTTAGTCTTACAGACCAGGCAGTGGTGGCACACACCTTTAATACCAGTAGCCACATTAGTTGCCATAGAAACTTTAATCCCATCTTTAATCCCAGCCCTAGGAAGTGATATAAAACAGGAGGAGACAGCTCACAGACACAGTCTCATTCTGAGATTCTTGGAGGCAGGATCAGGATTGCCATTTTGGACTGAGGTCGAGGTAAGAGCCAGTGGCTGGCTGTTTTACTTTTCAGATCTTCAGGTTGAACCTGGATTCTCTCTGAGTTTTTATTTATTAATCGTGCTTCACCCAGTGAGTCGTAAGGCAATAAGAACTGTGCAGAAAAGGTTAAAGGGATGAAACTTTTGGAAGATTTTGAATGATGGTCTATTGGTGAAAGTTTTTGTCCCCCCCAGCAGCTCCTAAATAAATACAAAGGGTTTTAATATTAATTATAAATGCTTGGCCAATAGCTCAGGCTATTACTAACTAGCTCTTACAACTTAACCTATTTATATTAATCCATGTGCTGTCCCTAGGCTAGTAGCATCTCTAGTCCATTTTGTGTGTCCAGCTCATTCCGCATCTGGCTAGGGACTTCTCTGACTCCACCCTTCCTCTTCCCAGCATTCTCCCTCTGTCAGGCTGTCTTTTCCCAATCTCTTTCTGCCCAGCTATCGGCCAATCAGTTTTTTATTAACAATTATAGCAGTACATATTTACAGTGTAGAAAGATTGTGCCACAGCAGTGGCCTGATGTAATGATTTGAACCAGTGTTTAATTTGGGTTCTAGGTATCGCAGCTACACAGAAAAGATGAGTGAGGAATCCAACGATGACAAGAAGCCAACGACTAAATTTGAACTGGAGCGAGAAACAGAGCTTCGATTTGAGGTGGAGGCATCTCAGTCAGTTCAGCTGGAGTTGCTGGCTGGCATGGCAGAGATCTTTGGCACAGAGCTGACCAGAAACAAGAAATTCACCTTTGATGCTGGTGCCAAGGTGGCTGTTTTCACTTGGCATGGCTGTTCTCTACAGTTGAGTGGCCGGACCGAGGTGGCTTATGTCTCTAAGGACACACCCATGTTGCTTTACCTCAACACGCATACAGCCTTGGAGCAGATGCGGAGGCAGGCAGAAAAGGAAGAAGAGCGAGGCCCCCGTGTGATGGTTGTGGGCCCTACTGATGTGGGCAAGTCCACGGTGTGCCGGCTGCTCCTCAACTATGCAGTGCGCTTGGGCCGCCGTCCTACCTATGTGGAACTGGATGTGGGCCAGGGCTCTGTGTCCATACCTGGTACCATGGGGGCCCTCTACATCGAGCGGCCTGCAGACGTGGAGGAAGGTTTCTCCATCCAGGCCCCTCTTGTGTATCATTTTGGCTCCACCACTCCTGGCACCAACATCAAGCTTTATAATAAGGTCAGTGCTGGAGCTAAGGTGGGGTGGAGGGAAAACTTAAATCAGGGTAGGAAGTAGGGCATTTTGTTACATAAAATAGAAGAAATTAGTCGTGTGGTGGTGGCACTCGCCTTTAATCCCAGCACTCGGGAGCCAGAGGCAGGCGGGTTTCTGTGAGTTTAAGGCCAGGCTGGTCTATGAGAGCTAGTTCCCAGACAGGCTCCAGGGGTACAGAGAAACAATAAATTTTTGCCCTCTAACTTAATCACTTTGGATTTAGAAGAAATCTAAACCTAAATCAGCTTCAGACTGCTAAACATTTTGTGGCCATATTCTTTTTTTTCCCCCTTAGAAAACCAAGCATTTTTTATATTTAATTAGTTCATTTATTTGTGTTTTTCGAGGCTGGGTTTCCTCTACGTAGCCTTATCTCTCCTGGAACTTGCTCTATAGACCACTCTGGCCTTGAACTTTGAGAGTGAGCTGCTTCTGCCTCCATAGTGCTGGGATTTTGTCACCATCTCCCGGCTTTATTTTATCTTTTTTGGTTTTAGACTAGAGTCTTGTACTGAGACCGTCTCATAAAAGAAAAAAAAGAAAGAAAGAAAAGTGTGTGTATGGGGGGGGGGCTTAGGATGTAGTTCCCTCGCCACGCACTTTTCAAGACCTGTGGCTGGGTTCCCAGTCCTGCACACAGACACTGAAGTAGATGGATTTGGGAACTGGAGAGACGGCTCAGTGACGACAAGCCTTGGCTGCCCTTCCACAGGACCTGGGTTCAATTCCAGGGTCCAAGCACCCACTTGACAGTCTGTAACTGTGTAACTCTAGTTCCAGGGAATCTGATACCCTCAGACGGACATTCATGCAGGCAAAATACCAAATCAGTGCACATAAAATAAAAATAACAGACACATTTATCTGTTTTGTGTTCTCATTTTGATATTTTCCAGATTACGTCTCGTTTAGCTGACGTGTTCAACCAGCGGTGTGAGGTGAATAGAAGGGCTTCCGTGAGTGGCTGCGTCATCAACACCTGCGGCTGGGTCAAGGGCTCCGGGTACCAGGCCCTGGTGCACGCAGCTTCAGCCTTCGAGGTGGACGTGGTGGTGGTTCTGGATCAAGAACGACTGTACAACGAACTGAAAAGGGACCTGCCTCATTTTGTTCGAACTGTGTTGCTTCCAAAATCAGGGGGTGTGGTAGAACGCTCCAAGGACTTCCGGCGGGAATGTAGGGATGAGCGTATCCGTGAGTATTTCTACGGATTCCGAGGCTGTTTCTATCCTCATGCCTTCAATGTCAAATTTTCTGATGTGAAAATCTACAAAGTTGGGGCACCTACCATCCCAGACTCCTGTTTACCTCTGGGCATGTCTCAGGAAGACAATCAGCTCAAGTTAGTACCTGTCACCCCTGGTAGAGATATGGTGCACCATCTCCTGAGTGTCAGTACCGCTGAGGGGACAGAGGAGAACCTTTCTGAGACAAGTGTGGCTGGGTTCATTGTGGTGACCAGTGTGGATCTGGAACACCAGGTGTTTACTGTGCTGTCTCCAGCCCCCCGCCCACTGCCTAAGAACTTTCTTCTCATTATGGACATCCGGTTCATGGATCTCAAGTAGTCATTAGCAAGAGCCTCACTTTCTGGACCATGGAAATCTGGCCATCACCCATGGCAGATGGAATGAGATTTGGGGACGAGGAACATCTCGTAGGAAGCACAGACTCTGCCTCTGAAGACAACGGTAGGAGCCAGACTCCTGTACTCTGAACCAAAAGGAGAGACTATGAAGAGAAATGGCTATTTTTTTTTTTTTTAAGATCACCTAAGGTGCCACTTTAAATATTCCAAGACCCTGGATAATTCCATGTCTTCCACTGTGCTACCATGAGGGGATTTTTTTGTTACTGCTTTCTGGTCCACATATAGTTCCTGTTATATCACCAGGATGAAAGTGAGATAAAGTTCAAACTTGAAAATAATTATTTTAATAAATATCGTTGTCATATCATAAGTTGTTGTGATTCTTTTTTAATTTCATTTTTCTACCGAAGCATTAGAGAAACTATAGGAAGGGTTTATTGCTAAAGTGTTGTGAGGAGGAGAAACCCAAGAACCTACTTGTGAGCTGAGCATGTTTGTTTTTGTTTTAAGACAGAGTTTCCTTGTGTAGCCTTGCTTGTCCTGAAACTCACTCTAGACCAGGCTGGCCTCAAACTCACAGAGCTTCAGCCTGCCTCTACTTCCTGAGTGCTGGGGATAAAGGTGTGTGCCACCACGCCTACCTGCCAAGCATGTTTTTATGATGGTCCCCACTTGTTTCACACTTAGATGGTAAACCTGTTTCCAGTGCTGGGTGTACTCAGAGATTAGAGACTGGCAATAATCTTGGGATGGTTTCAGCTCTATTTCCTAAAGATAGCCTAATGCCTTTAAAAAAAAATTATGAGTGAGTCTACCTGCCAGAAGAGGGCATCAGATTCCATTTTAGTTGGTTGTGAGCTACAATGTAGATACTGGAAATTGAACTCAGAACCTCTGGAAGAGCAGAGCTCTTAACTACTGAGCCATCTCTTCATCCCCCAGTCATTACCTTATAGTTAAAGCTATCCTTCCTGTTGTCTGTTTGTCTAGAATCAAGTTTCTGTGTTCAAATGTACTAGAGCGTTTGGGTATAAAGCTGGGCAATGTGTACAATGTTCTGCCTGCGTGTATGCTTGCAGGCCAGAAGAGGGCACCAGATCTCACTACTGATAGTTGTGAGCCACCATGGGGTTGCTGTGAATTGAACTCAGGATCTCTGGAAGAGCAGCCAGTGCTCTTGACCTCTGAGCCTCTCTCCATCCCTATCTCCCAATTCTTTATTGCGCACATATGCACTCATTAGAAACTGTTTTAAGTGGGGAACAAAATAAAGTTTTATGAAGCTTGCAGCAAAAGAATAAAAAAGGCAAGTAGTATACAAAAGCTTAAATTTGGGCATATGGGATAGTCAGGAAGGGCCCTTACTGAGAATACATCCCCAGAAGACCTGGAAAAGTTAAACGGCACTTATGCAAAAGCTTCCTCATAGAGGAAACTACAAAATCCAAAATTAAAAAAAAAAAAAAAAAGCTGAGCTTAGTGCTAAGGAGAAAGAAGTGTAGTTGGGTGTAACAAACAAAGCAAAGGTGAGTCTGTAGGGAGCTTGAGAGACCAGAGAAAGTGCTCATGAATCCGAGTCAAGCAGACTTTATCCATGCACAGCAGCAGGAGAGACACAGGACAAGGGTCATTTAGCACAGGAACGACAATGCACTTCACACTCGACAGATTTCCTTCTGGCGTTGTCATACTCGATTTTGGTTGATTTTCTACTGCTCTCGCCTACTTCCCTGTCCTCTGTCCCTGTCTACCTCCAGGAACACCCACGCCCCCCCAAACACATTTTTTTAACCCAGTCTTCATTTTGAAAAGATCATTGCCCTGTGGAGAATTGACTACAGAGGGCAGGTCTCTGGAGAAGCCAGAGACCAATGGGATGTTTTCGTGTCGGTATCCAGGTGCGACTTGGTGGGGAACAGATGAGGGGAGTGTTTCCATTTGTGCTTGGGGATATTTGAATGTCAAATGGATAAGACCTGCTGACAAGAAAGATGAGAAGAGAATGGGATCGAGGATGATGATTCATGGTGGAGTCTGTGTGTGCTTTATATTTTATGTGTATGAATATTTTGCCTGTGTGTATGTATGTGCACCACATGCATGCAGGTGACTGGGGAGGAGGTCAGAACAGGGTGTCAGATCCTGACTTGAAGTTTAGCCTGGGAGTGCTTTCTGGGTGCTGGGAATCTCTGTAACAGCTCTGCCGGTCCTGGAACTCACTCTGTAGACCAGGCTGACCTCGAACTCAGAGATCCACCTGCCTCTGCCTCCCGAGTGCTGGGATTAACGGCATGTGCCACCATCGCCTGTCTATGGAAATCAAAATTCTTTGATAAAGTAGTAAGTGCTCTCTCTTTCTCTCTCTCTCGTTCTTTATTTTTTTTTGGGGGGGGGTGTGTCTTCTCTGTGTAGCCCCGTCTGTCCTGGAACCTGCTCAATAGCCAGGTTGGCTTCCAACTCAGAGATCTGCATGCCTCTGCCTTCCAAGTGCTGGGATTAAAGACATGTGCCACCATACCTGACGGTTTAGTGCTCTTGACTGCTGAGTGCATGTGTGTGCACTGTTGAGATAAGGATCACTCTCAGACTCAGAATTTCTCCATAGTACAAGTGCTGGAGTTACTACATGTGTCACCATACTTGACTTATATAAGTTTTTAAAAAATTTATGTCTTATGTATGAATGCCTTGCAAGTATCCCTGCATGCCAGAAGAGGGCATCAGATCCTTTTATAGAGGGTTGTGAGCTACCATGTGGTTGCTAGGAATTGAACTCAGACTCTCTGGAAAAGCAGTCAGAGCTCTTAACAGCTGAGCCATCTCTCCAGCTTCATAAAAACTTCTAAATTTTTTAACTATTTTATTTATTTATTTATTTATTTATTTTTGAGACAGGGTTTCTCTGTGTAACAGTCCTGGTTGTCCTGGAACTCTCTGTAGACCAGGCTGGCCTCCAACCCACTGAGATCTTCTTGCTAACTCAGTCTCCTGACCCAAGGTTAATTTTATTAGCACAAATGCAAACTCAGGGTTCACAGTGTGATCGAATATCTCCCAACATACAGTGCTTTTAACTGTAACTTAGCAATGTAGGTGCTGTGAAAATGGAAACGAGGAACAAAGGATGGAGGTAAGAGGCCAGACAGGGTTGGGATGCAGTTCTAGGGGCAAGGCTTTGGATTCCATTCTCAGCACTGGAAAGGAAACAGGCTGGTGTGGGGGTGGTGACAGAACGTGAAGCATTCTGGGAACTAACCAAAGAAACCTCACTATGGATCTGGACGCACTGATGTGGATCAAAATTGGCCTTGGAAAGCAGTCTTTGAATGGTGGGGGATAAACTGTCAAGGCACTGTACAGGGAGGATGTTAGATGCAGACTTATCAGAGGGTGGAGAGTTGGCAGGACGGTTTAGCTGATAAAGGCACGGTTGCTAAACCTGACAGCCTGGAGAAAACTGACTCCCACAAGTTGTCCTCTGACCTCCATACATGTTCTGTGTCACGTGTGTGCCTCTTCTACCTCACAAAAGCAAGGAAGAAAATATGCAGTGAAGGGAATAGGATCCAGAGAACAAAGAGAAAGACTGTCTTTTTGTTGGAGGGAGGCCGCTTATTGGTTCCCAGCTGCTCTCCACTTGTTCCCCCCAGCTGCCTAGAACTGAAATAATCACACAGAAACTGTATTAACTAAATCAGTGCTTGACCCATTAGCTCTAGCTTCTTATTGGCTAACTCTTACATATCAATTTAATCCATTTTTATTACTTTGTGTATCGCCACGTGGCTGTGGTTTACCGGCTAAAGTTTGGGTATCTGTCTCTGGTGGGGGCTACATGGCTTTTCCCTGACTCCACCTTCTTTCTCCAGCATTCAGCCTAGTTCCCCCCCCCCGCCATGCTCTGTTCCCCTATAGCCCTGCTATAGGCCCCAAACAGTTCCTTTATTTATCAATGGTAATCACAGCATACAGAGGGAAATCCCACATCATCTTTAGAAAGATGCTTACATTTGGCAAGTATGCCAAGCATCCAACCCAAGGCCTTGCAAATGCTAAGCCCAAATTCTGTCAGTGAGCTTCACCCCCAGCTCCAAAAAGATTATTTCAAGAGGACAAGGAGTGAAGATAGGATTTTAACAGGAAGAAAGTTAAAAAAAAATGCAGTCATTTTTACACTGCTGAAGGAAGACATTCTTCGAAGCCTGTCCTGGAACTAGCTCTTGTAGTTGAACTGGCTGGCCTCCAATTCACAGAGATCTCCTGCCTCTGCCTCCTGAGTGCTGGGATTAAAGGTGTGCGCCACCACCACCCAGCAAAGGAAGGCATTCTTTTTGCTAAGTTAACTCTGGCACTGGCTTGCCATATACAGACGTAGGAAAACTCAGGCGAAGGGCATTTTGAAAAAGCGTAGATATGCAGCACGAGAGAAAGCACCAGGTATTTCCTGACACACTTGTCAAGTAATTTATTTTAAATGTGATGATCTGGATAATATATTGTTTTGGTCTATTTTTTTTTTTTTTTGAGACAATGTTTCTCTGTGTAGCCTTGCCTGTCTTGGAACTTGCCTACAGACCAGGCTGGCCTTGAACTCGCAGAAGTATTTGTGTTACATCCAGTGAACCCTTCTTTCTGGGGTACACGTTTTGCCATCTTAAGGAAAGGAGAATGGACTCTCTGTTAATCCTTTGCTAGTGTTCACCCAGCAGAAACTGAGTTTAGTAATCCAGCAGTTTTACTACGCCTCTGGAGAGCCTAAGGCATTCGGTACCTCTGGTGGGATGGTGGAATGCTTTTTCCGTTTGGTGTGGCCTGGTCAACAGACACGATTGCTCATCCAGGTTCTGAGCAGAAAAATCGAGCTGGCAGATGGGCCAGTGGGTGAAAGCGGCTGCTGGGCAAGCCTGACAACTCGAGCGTCACCCCTGGAAGCCAAGAGAGCCAACACCTGAAAGGTGTCTCACCCCACCCGCCTCTCTTTCATATAGCTGAGGATTTGAAAAGTAGTCAACATGAACCCGGATCAGTTGTAATAAATGCTGGGTTGAGAACAGTAGTAAAATTGTATCATAGGAGTACAAATGATAATATACACCATGTCAGAGAAGGAGACAGACTAGACTCTAAAGAACAAAGGGTAGATTTGTGCATTAACTTGCGGCCTAAGGCTAAAATGTCAAAGTTAAATCTGCAACATTTAAAGTCAACCCAGGGAGACAATGACAGAACTCGGAAATCACACTGGACACACGACACACGAGAGACCTTGGCTTCAGGGAAGTGGCGGGTGGGACTCCTTTTCCAAGGGCTGTTATGTAACAGAGCTGTTCTACAAATGAGAGACGGCCTGGAGCCGTGAGAGGAGAGCCC